GGGATGGTACAAATGTTCAGTGTCTAGATCTTTGCAGGAATGTTTAAGCTCAAGTACCAGGCAATGCTGGCTTTGCCTTTTCTCTTGAAGTCAGAGGCCCCCCTTGGTACTTTATAAGGGCAGGCAGTCACCCAAAATCTTGGTCAAAAGTTTATTTCCCATTAAATGTAAAAGGCTCTCAACACAGGACTGGGGGCAGCGGGGTAGGGGAAGCTGGGCTCATAATGGCCTGTGGTTGCTCAAATGACTAATGACCTAAGAAAAGGTCTTAGGTATACTAAAAAAGTATTTTGTTTCTTAAGGTAATTACATGGAAATTAGATTTCAAGTGGCTCATGGTAGTAGCTACAGGGTAGAGAGGAAAGTGGACCAAAAAAACCAACACCTCCTAGGAAATGATCTGTTACTTTTTTTATATAGATAAGAGAAAGCCAGGTGATTCATAAAACTGAAAATAAAGTAAATGTTCCACCTCTTCCCAATTTAGCAGGACGAGTAGTCATCAAAAATTAATGTTCATTGTGTTAGAAGTTAGCTTAGTGCTGGAAAAACCAACCGAGGATTTCAGCTGTTTTAGTTGTCTTTGAGGAGATTCCTGTGGTTGAAAAAAGCTGTTTCCCATTCCACATCTGGATAGCTCTGATGTTTTGTATCAGAAACATCAAATTTAGAGCCCAGTAGTGATTAGAAATGAGACGAAGAATCTAGATATGATGATAATAAGGGAAGGGGTTAATCTTAAAATGTTGGTCTTTACATTGCTGAAGAATTTTGCAAGCCTGTGCTGAGAACTGCCGAGTCTTCATGGTTCTTCCTCTGGACGAGTGAGGGCTGAGGCATTTGTGGGTGCTAGAATGGGGAATGGGCTTGGTCACTGATTTTTGTTGAGAGCTTCATGGGAAGGCATGAAGCGGAAAATACGTTGGAGTTCTCATCTGGTGACTCCCTGGGTACTCCAGGCAGTGAGGCGTCATTTTGAAGGTGTGGGGCGTAACCAGGTGAGAGCAGCCATGTTTGCCGGATGAGGAAATGATGTGGAGCGGTCTTAGAGCACTCTCGGTGACGGGTGCAGGACAGTCCCAAGAGATGATGCAGATGGAAACCGTTTTTTTTTTTTTTATTTATTTTTTATTTTTTTAGATGGAGTTTTGCTCTTGTTATCCAGGCTGGAGTGCAGTGGTGTGATCTTGGCCCACTGTAGCCCCTGCCTCCCTGGCTTAAGCAATTCTCCTGCCTCAGCCTCCCGAGTAGCTGGGATTGTAGGTGCGCACCACCATGCCGGGCTAGTTTTATTTTTGTATTTTTAGTAGAGATGGGGTTTCGCCATCTTGGCCAGGCTGGTCTCTAACTCCTGGCCTCAGGTGATCCACCTGCCTTGGCCTCCCAAAGTGCTGGGATTACAGGTGCGAGCCACCGCTTCCAGCCTGGGAACTTGGTTTTTATTTTATTTTATTATTTGTTTTTTGAGACAGAGTTTTGCTCTTGTTGCCCAGGCTGGAGTGCGATGGTGCAATCTCTGCTCACTGCAACCTTCGCTTCCTGGGTTCAAGTGATTCTCCTGCCTCAGCGTACCAAGTAGCTGGGATTACAGGCATGTGCCACCATGCCCGGCTAATTTTTGTATTTTTTAGTAGAGACGGGGTTTCACCGTGTTGGCCAGACTGGTCTGGAACTCCCGACCTCAGGTGATCTGCCTCCCCCCGCCCCCCTCGGCCTTCCAAAGTGTTGGGATTGCAGGCGTGAGCCATCGTGCCCGACCAGAACCTGGTTTTTAAACTTAGATATGCCTCAGTCATCTTGTCCTAGACCTCGCAATCTCACCTCGTATTCCAAAGCACAAATGACCTACCATGTTTTATTCTTCCTTCTAGCTTCTGGAGAGAGAAATGATTGTTCCAGTTTAGAATGCCAGGGATTTACTGGGTGTTTGTACTTTTTATCTGTGCCTTAAAAAAATTAGATTATAATGAACAAGATATCTTTGTTTTTTACAGGGAAGGAAAAAGCAGTGAAAGTATGCATTTTCAAAAGAAAAGTGTATTGGGAAAAGAGAGAGAGAGAGTGGAAACCCAAAGGAGAAACAAGAAAATTTTAAGTCCTTGTTGCGGTAGCTGGAGGAAGTGTAGCTTGGAAATCTCTCCAGCACAATGGTTGCTGGCTGGGAGGAAAGATCTGACTTAGACACAGAATAAGCTGCTTGTGCTGGGTGTGTTCGTGAGCTGGGTGAGGTTTTCTGTGTCGCTGGGCACCTGAGGAAAGTTATGTGGCTGGGGGTGGTGGGGGGCGTTAGAATGGAGTGTGGGTGTCTGCGCTCGTGCACGCGTGCGCGTGTGTGTGTGTTGTGTGTGTGTGTGTGTGAGAGAGAGAGAGAGAGAGACAGAAAGAGAAGGTAAAATTAACTTTGTCCTATATGTTGATTTCTCTGCTAGAGTCTTAAGGAACTTGCAGCTGCATTTTTACTGTTTCAATTACAGGATTCTCTCTAGGATTGTTGGTGTTATTTAGGTGATGATGAAGGCAAGGATTAAGAACAGAACTGGACAAGTGAAAATGGAATTTGGATTAACCACAGTTTGATTAATTTATTCATAAGATTGTGACTATATGAATTTTTTTTCTACAACATAGCCTTAGTTATCAGGTGTCCATTCAATTTTAATTGACAATATAAGATTCCTGTGGTTACCCTGTGTACAGATTGCCTAGGGGCTCTGCAGGGATTGTGGGAAGGAAAGCTTGGACAAGTTTCCATTAAGATCTGAATCAGGCGATTGGAAAAGAAGAGAATAAAACCAACTGAAAAGAGAGGGACAAGTTGTTAGTGTTGCCTACTCTGCTTGAAGGAGAACCCTCCTCTCAGACAAGAGCTACTTTCTGGCCAAGAATTCCAAGCTCGCAGAGAAACCTGTCCCAGGCACAGAAGTTGTTTTAACATGATGCAGAATTGTCACAGTAATTAGTGCAATCTCCGTTTACTGACTGGCAGTTTTTACAAAAAGGAGATGAGGACAAAGGGTGCAAAGTCATCTTTGTTTTTCAGCGGGTCACTTTACTTATTTATTTTTATTTTTTATTTTTGAGATGGAGTCTCACTCTTACCGTCCAGCCTAGAGTCCAGTGATGAGGTCTTGGCTCACTGCAACCTCTGCCTCCTGGGTCCAAGCAATTCTCTTGCCTCAGCCTCCCGAGTAGCTGGGACCATAGGCACCCACCACCACACCTGGCTAATTTTTGTATTTGTAGTAGAGATGGGGTTTCACCATGTTAGCCAGGGTGGCCTCAAACTTCTGACCTCAGGTGATCCGCCCACCTCAGCCTCCCAAAGTGCTGGGATTAGAGACGTGAGCCACTGTGCCCTGCCAGCGGTTCACTTCAGATGCTGCTTCTGAGTGTGTGTGGGGGGCTGTGTGTGTGTGGGTCAGATCTTCTGTTGTTTTAGGATACTGTGGTTTATTACTCTCCTTTGACAGGTGTAGGGTTTTTTCCCACCCACTTCATTGTGCCTCCTTTTAATTTTGATTAATACTCTGTTTGGGGCAAGCAGACTTACATTATATCTATCTGTAAATATGTATGTAATGTTTTCTGTTTGTTTATTTGGAACAGATAAAATGATCTCAGAGCCCGCTGCATCCTAGAATGGGTATTTATAGACTTAGCCCATGAACAATATGGATTTACACTATTTTTTTAAATTGGATTACTACCCTTGTGTTTGAGTTAGTTCAAAAGTTCTTATGTGATTTTTTTCCCCTTTATTTATTTTTTAAAACTGTGTGGACTGAATTGTTTTCCTTCCAGGGAGCAAGATACAAATTATCTGGATCTGAAACTCGCAGTGTAAATTTGTGCTAGTAACACAGATGTGTTCTGGTAGTAGTAATAGCACAGGAGTAGTAACAGTAGTTTGATATAATACTACAGATCCATGTTCGGAAATGCAGTTGATTTGCCTGTTACAAGGAGGGGACTGGACATCAATTTTCCAGGGTCATCTGATTCCTCATTATTAGTTCCTATATGGCAAATTAAAATGCATTTTCAGATAATTGTTGAGATCCTTTAGTGATTATTGTATTGTTTATAAAATAAATCAGTAGATGGTGTTTGTGTTCCCAATTGATGGGATCCCAAGATTAACAAGTATTATTTGGGAAGGTGAGAATTGGGTGAACAATCTTGCTGTTTCTTTCTATTTCGGGATACCTGCTTCTTTGATGGGTGGTCTCTAGGACTTCAGAGGGAAAGGCTGAGGACAGACTTAGACCTTGGGGAGGATCTGAGCCAATCAGTGACTTGCATTCACTCAGTTGCCACCTAATAGGTGGTCCTCCGTTAGAAAATTGGTGGCTTTCTGGCAGTGTTTGGCCCTCTCTTTGGGGAAGTGTGGATTACTAGAGTGCAGGTGACAGAGATGGCCTGGGATGGACAGCTTAGTCATCATGAAAGAATGTGTAAGGCATCGGGTGGCCCCTGAATTCTGTCTGACACATTTGTTTTCCCAGAAATAGAATTGCATTGGAGAGCTGGGGCCCAGTTATTAGAAATATAGGGGTGGGGTGCTTGTACTTGTTGCAGTCTTGTGGCTTCTCATAATCTTTTCTCTGCTAATCCTTCCTCTTGCCTACATGTTGCAATTCTGGTGACTTTTTGCAGCACACAGTTCATTTTTCTTCAGCATCCCGCTCAGCACACTGGCTTCCTTTATGTCTTAATGGGCATCCATCCTTCATTTTCATGTCATTAATTCTCACTCCTGGCCCCCACCTTCCCTGTATGCTTATTGAATAGGTGCTTTAAAAAAAAAAAAAAAAAAACTTTACCTTAGACTGTTATGATCATCTTATCCATAGCAACAAATAAAAGTACACAGGTCTTGATTGAATGCCAAGGCTGCAGTTCAATCTAGGAAGGTTTGTCTGCTATTCATAAACTGCTTAAGATGTTTTCTTGTAGTTTGTGACATAAGCAGAACGCTTTGATTTGGTTTCTTTCTACAGCTCCATTTTCAGTCCGGCAGCACACATTACTCTGCGTACAAAACGATTGAACACCAGATTGCAGTTCAGGTAGGAAACGCAAGAGATTCTGAAGCTTGAATTGTCTATATGTAGGTCTCTTGTGTGTTTTATTCTCTGCCCCTTACCCCAACTGAGATGATGATGATGATGATGATGATGGTGGTGGTGATGATGGTGATGGTGGTGGTGCTGGTGGTGCTGGTGGTGCTGGTGGTGGTGGTGGTGGTGGTGGTGGTGGTGGTTGAATCACTGGGAGAGAAGGGGAGCAAAGGAGAGAGAAGCAGGAGAAATGCTGCTGAAATGATGTAGAGATATGGAAAGAAAGAGAAGCCTGTGCTTATTGTAAAGAGTTTCTTGATCGGGTATAATGGGCACACAGACCCCAGCTTGACTATTTTTCTTTGCTTAGGGAGGGATGTTGAATTGGGAGTAAGGGTGGCACAATGTGAATGGGAAGGCTTAAGGGGAGAGGTGGGAGAGGAGGCCATGCGACAGCCAGAGGGTGGTTTCTGGTGGATCAAAATCTTGTTAAGTGGTGCTAAGAATATCTCTTTGGACCTGATCATCCTGAAATGTTGGTTTCTCTTGGACCTGTCGATGTACGACACTAAATGTGCTGGAAGGGAAAGGCGACAGATCCCAGCTTCTGATGAGTGTCCTGTTTCCTGCTCACGTAGTACTTCCATTCTCTTAAATCCAAAGGCTAAACAAATCATGGACTAATATAGACTCGGAGCTGAACTGATGCCAGCAGAATGCAGTAGAGGAGGGAGAGCAGACTAATACGATTTTCATCTGTCTGCCCGGCTTTGCTGGGATGGATGTACCTCATGGTGTAACTAATGGTACCAAAACTTCTTGAGTGTCCTGCCTTAACCCTTCGAAGGGATTCTCTTGAAACCTTTTGCTGTAGCATTAAAGTCTAGCTGGAGAGCCTTCTTTTCTTGTGAGTTGATATTGGTTTGTTAGATCATGTGCATTATTCCATGACTTCTTTTCTGGTGAAGAGCCCTTGCAGATAACTTGTCTGTGTTTGTGTGTATCTGTGTGTGTGTGTGTGGTCTTAGGTAGCCGCAGCCACAATGCATCTTTGTAGCTCTGTCATCTCAGATCTGCATCTTCCTCGATAAGACTTTCAGATAGCTGTTTGCCCCAGGTAAACGGAATTATTCCGCCAGTGAAAAGCATGAGTCAGTAGACATTTTTATTTGGTGCATTCCTAGTGTTTCTGTACTCATTTTCAGGCCACAGCAACTTATTTTAAAAATATTTGAGGCTGGGTGAGGTAGCTCACGCCTGTAATCCCAGCACTTTGGGAGGCTGAGGTGGACGGATCACTTGAGGTCAGGAGTTTGAGACCAGCCTGGCCAACATGGCAAAACCCCGTCTCTACTAAAAATATAAAAGTTACTCGGTGTGGTGGTGGGTGCCTGTAATCCCAGCTAATCAGGAGGCTGAGGCAGGAGAATCACTTGAACCCGGGAGGTGGAGGTTGCAGTGGGCCGAGATCATGCCATTGCACTCCAGCCTGGGTGACAAGAGTGAGACTCTGTCTAAAATATATATATATATATATATATATATATTTTTTTTTTTTTTTCTTTTTTTGATTATTTCTGCAGTTGTGCTGATGACCTTCTTGTGTGCGTCTTTTGGGGGAAAAGTGTGACTCTTGATTTTACCCTTCTCAACCCCTAACTGTTTCCAAGACTGACCTGTCTTTAACTTGAGGCTGCAGTTGTTCTTTTCGGCATGCTGCCGATTGGTCCCTCCTTCTTTCTTCTGATGGACAGCATAGTAAGTCTTGCTCCCAGAAAGTGCTTTAGATGCAGGACTTGGTTAGAGAACAAGCCCAAACCCTAACTCTTGGTGCCTGGGTGGATGTACAACTCTTGGTGAACAGGTGCAGGCCTCCTACATCTCGGGGAGTGCTGGAAAATCTTGTTGCCTGGGGTGTGGGAATTGTTGAAGTTGAATAGGATAGTGATCCTTATCTTGGTGTGGAAAAGCTGGCTGGGGCCATGTCACTGGGAGACTAGCCCGGACCAGACCAGCTGTTGTATCTTTACACCCGTTGCTGAAGTGCCCCTTGTTAGGCTGAGCAGTTTGTCTTTCTCCAAACCACCTGGCACGGTGCAGGCCATGTGAAGCTCTTTCTCAGGAGGAAGATGGAGTAAATTACAGAGCTCATTGTTTTGGAGGACTGAAACCATTACTATTCCTCCATGAACAGGTAGTATTGTTCTCCTCTGCTTCTATTTGCTAAGGCTTGATGCCCATGTGGGCAAACAGAGACATTTTATTAGAGACCCAGAATCATGCTTTTGCAGCGTTCATTCTCCCTCAGTCTCTGCTAGACCCGCACAAGGCCAAGCTAAATGGCATCTAGCTGTAATTTTAGTTTGATCATCAAAGGATAAATGGCAAAAAACAAAACCAAAGAAGCAAAGGGAAAAGAAGGGGAAAGCTTAGACAAAATGAAATTGTTCCCAAAGTACATTGGGGTGTTCATAATCTTTTTGCCCTGGTACAGCATAGACCAGACATGTTCCCTTCGCTCCATTCTCCAACTTAAGGCTAAATGCAACACGATTGTCGGGGCAGAGTTATTGTCCCTGGAAACTTAAAACTGTTTAACCTTAATAAACACTAGATTTCAATAGGAGCTGAGCTGGTTGCTCTCCTAAGCTACATCCTAAAATAACCCAGAGTACTATGACCCTGTGCATCACAGGAGACTCATACTCTTTTCCCTTCCCATCGCTCCTGTAATCTCAGTACTCAGCCAAGCTCACCGTTTATATGAATGGCCTTGAGTGATTCTATAGACACGTCACATTCTTATAAAAGGTTTGGACACAATAGCAGTTGCTATGTTTAGATCTTTCCTACTTTTGACAGCCTCCTAGCTCCTCCTGGTTTTGAAAAGACAAGAGCAACTCAGATGGCCACATTCTCCCAAAGTGAATAACACAAATAAAACTAGAATGAAAATTAAAAGTTTTTTTTTTTTTGAGACGGAGTTTCACTCTCTGTTGCCCAGGCTGGCGTGCAATGGCGTGACCTCGGCTCACTGCAACCTCCACCTCCCGGGTTCAAGTGATTCTCCTGCCTCAGCCTCCCGAGTAGCTGGGATTACAGGCATGCGCCACCACACCCGGCTGTTTTTGTATTTTTAGTGGAGACAGGGTTTCTCCATGTTGGTCAGGCTGGTCTCGAACTCCCGACCGCACGTGATCCACCTCGGCCTTCCAAAGTGTTGAGATTGCAGGTGTGAGCCACTGCGCCCAGCCGAAAATTAAAAGATCTTTTAGAAAAGACATTGTTTTAAAATTCTATTGACTTTTAAAATGTTTTATTGTAGTGTAATTTACGTATAACACAGTACACAGAACTTTAGTAGAGAGGTGGATGAAGTTTTCCATATGTGAACGCCCGTGAAACCATCACTCAGATCAGTATATAGAATGAGGTTGGGACACCTTTATTGTCAAGGGCCAGATAGTAAATATTTTGGGCTTTCTGAGCTGCTCAGTCTCTGTTGCAACTACATTTGACCCTTGAACGACACAGCACGCGTTTGAACCACATGGATCCACTTAGATATGGATTTTCTTCTGCCTCTGAGACAGCAAGACCAACCCCTTCTCTTCCTCCTCTTCCCCCTCAGCCAACTCATCCCAAAGAAGGCAAGGATGAAGACCTTTATTATAATCCACTCCCACTTAATGAATAGTAAATATGTTTTCCATATGATTTTCTTAATAACATTTTCTTTAGCTTACTTTATTGTAAGAATACAGCATATAATATATACATAAATTATATATTAATTGACTGTTTATGTTATCGGTCAGGCTTCTAGTCAGCAGTAGGCTATTAGTTAAGTTTTTGAGGAGTCAAAAGGTATACTCAGGTTTTCTTTTTCATTTTTTTTGAAACGGAGTCTCCCTCTGTCGCCCAGGCTGGAGTGCAGTGGCGCATCTCGGCTCACTGCAACCTCCGCCTCCCAGGCTCAAGCAATTCTCCTGTTTCAGCCTCACTAGTAGCTGGGACTACTGGTGCCTGCCACCACGCCCGACTCATTTTTTGTATTTTTAGTAGAGATGGGGTTTCACCGTGTTAGCCAGGATGGTCTCGATCTCCTGACCTTGTGATGCACCTGCCTTGGCCTCCCAAAGTGTTGGGATTACAGGTGTGAGCCACTGAGCCTGACCTATACTCGACTTTTCAACTGTGTCCCTGGCCCGGGTGTTCAGGGGTCAGCTGTACTCAGCGCTTCTATTGTGGGTTGAAAGCAGTCAATGATAAACCCAAAGGAATATATTCCTTGTTGTGTCTCAATAAAGCTTTATTTAGAAAAAACAGGCAGTGGCTGGATTTGGCCTCAGAGGCTAACTTCTGATAAAGAGCTCCCCGGAAGTCTCCCTTGTCTCCCCCTTTTTCCAGTTATTTGGCTGCTTCCTCTCTCCCCTGCCCCCACTGAAAAGTCTGTTAGTTTTATTTATCACTGTGGATTAGTTTTGCCTGTTTTTTGGCAAAAACATGTAATGGAATCTTACAGAATATACTGATTCATGTCTGGCCACACTCAGCATATGTCTGTGAGTTTCATCCATGTTCTCTTGGGTAGCAACGGTTTGCTCTTTTTCATGGCCAAGTAGTATTCCACCGATGAATGTGCTTCAGTGCATGCATCCTTCCTGTGTTGTTGGGTATTTGCATTGCTTCCAGTTTTTTTTTTGCTATTATGAATAAAATTCTAGTAACATTTTCACACACATCTTTTGGGGAAACATATTTCCATTTCTGTTCATATACTGAGAGTAGACTTGGAGGGGCATGGGGTAATGTGTGTTTAGCCTTGCACTGACCTTCTCAGAGAGACTTGAGTGCTGGATGTGAGTATTGTCATTGCAACAGCGGTAGTAGTTGTTAGGTATGTGAGTGATACGTGTAGGGTGAGCAGTAAATTTATCTGGGTGTGATCAGAGGCCAATTGCCCAAGCTTCGGTGCAGGCCCCTTCATGCAGTGATTTGGCCTTTGG